AACTGTTGCGTGTTAGAAAATACGCGGCGGTAGAGTTTGTAAATTCGCGTCCCAACTTTGCACGTAAGTTTAACACACAAACAGAAAGAAAGAGTGAACACCAAGAGTTTTTACGTGGAAAACCCAAAAAGGGGAAAAACCACGGGGCCTTGCCCAATTGCAAATTTCCACTAGTGTTTTTGTAGATTACAAATGGCGGATTTCTTCCCACAAGTCGGGATAATCCAAATACAACTCGTCTCTTCCACGAAATTCACAAAATCCTGCGAATTCCCTGCGTTTCCTGAAAATCCGGCAGAGTTCCGGCGTCTCTAGGCGGCAGGAAAAAATCCGGCGGCGGTGGTCGAGGAGGTGAGGAATCTCCTATTCCCCTTTCTCCTTCTCCTTCTCTTCTTCTTCTCTCTCTTCCCTTCCGTCCCCTTGGTGTAGAATGAGGGCTCTATTTATAGTTTTTCTGGAGTGGCATAGCCCGTAAATAGGCGTGAGGTCAAGGGCGAACAGGGAGTGGTTTGGATGGACGGCCGATATCGAATCCTTTGATCATGCACCGTTTGTTGGGCATTTGATGGCCTTAATGTTGTTGGAATTCGATGATCTTGGGCTCGTTGGATTTGTCTCGTCGAGCCCTTCGATTCGAGTATAAGCTCGTCAAAATCGGAGACTGTTTGGTAACTCAAATTACGGTTTGAACCTTCCGACGACGCTTTGAACCCTTGATTCGGACTCATTTGGGCTCGGATTGGGTTGATTTTGGTGTTGTTGGGTTCGTATTTCCGAGACGCTCAGTTTGACTATAAGATCGCTGAAATCGGAGTTCATATGCTCCCGAATTTAATTTTTGAAGTTTTCAACTAGGTTTTGCCTCGAGATTCGTGCCCGATCAAGATGATTTTTTTGACGCCGTATCAATTATGTTATGTTACATTAATGAAAGTCACATTATTGATTGCTTTTTTCGGTATTGTGCATGTTCATGAGGCAATAACTAAGTTTCTTAAGAAGGCAATTGAACAACTCCTATCAACTTATGTGTTATGCATATTTTTTGAATAAGTGGCCAAGATTATGACGGAGTTACTAATATGAGAGAGGAGTTTGAAGGGTGGAAAGCATTATTCATAAATGAAAATAAATTAACCTATTATATTTACCTTCTTCACATAACAACATCAATTATCTTTAATATATATTGCAAAAAAATCATATTCAAATTACCTTATTATTTATTATAATTTTTAATATGATGAATATTATTGATGTTTCGTATAAATCTTGTAATCAACTTAGAAAAAATAACGAGAAAAGATGTTAGGTGCTGTAGAAAATGTTGAGCTTGTTACATTATAATATTCAATTCAAGAAAAAAATATTAAACATGCAAGAGATATACATTGGGGTTTACATTATGAATCACTAGTAAGATTGATCATAATATTTTTCTAAAAAAATTAATATATTAGAAATTATGTTGAAGGATAATGATATTAGTCACCTCAAGTTCTTCATAATATGTCTTATTGCACTATGTTCGTCTTTGTAAGAATTATTTAAAGTCAATCTCGTTATGAATCTTACACATGTCACAATAATAAAATGTACGTATATGTTTAAAATGTTGATATGGTTGAATTTTGTGCATAAATTCTATGAATTAAAGAGCAAATAATTATTTACATAGATTGTGAGACCTCTAAGAACAACTCCAAGCCTAACCCAGAGGAGAGGTGAATTAGTAATTTAAAATTTTTTTAGCGAAAAGAAAATCTTTTTATAACTTGATGCGGAAGAGAATTAATTTCACAATAAAAATATCAGAGTTTTCACCCACATAATTAATTACAGAAAAATAAATGTGGAAAATAATAAGAACAAACATACTATAATTTATAATGATTTGATCCAACCTAACCTACGTCCACTCCTCAAAAATATCCTTTTTCATGTATTGCACTAATAGAAGTGTCTCTCCTTTTGTCTACACAGTAAGACATATAAGTACTTACAAAATCTCTTCCACCAACCAGGTGCAACAGAGGACCTTACTCTTTTTCACCCTCCTGATGAAGGCAGAAAACCTGAAATCCTTTTTCTTCCTCCTAGCTAGAGATGGCAGAGAACTGAGAATTAGTGTTGTAGAGTGTCTTCTAGGAGCCTCCAAAGGATCAAGATAGAAGCTTGAAGAAAACGAGCAAGAACCTTACTTGGAGCAACCTTGTGAACACCTCGCAAATCTCCAATAAAAAAACTCTCCCTCTCTTCTCTCTCCCAAAGCCCTCCTAAGCACCTATTTGCTCCCACTTAGAATACCTTAGCAGCAAAAGTCTTTTAGAAAAAACTTTGTGAAAGCTTAAACAGAGAGCATCCTAAAAAACCCTAAAATTTCACAATAAAAAATTGTAAAAAATAAAATATAATAAATAATAAATAATAAATTGTATGGTACAATCCTAGATCAACATGTATTAATAGTTTGAAGTACTCATATTAGTATTGTAGGAATATATATATATATCATGTATGATTAGTTCAAAGAGATGAATTGATCATTCAATACAATTGAGATCATTGTATGGTACAATTAGTATAAAATAGTTTTTTAGACAATATGAATTGCATTTTCATGTACAATCAATTCAAGGGTTTGTACTGATCTCCATGTACGATAGGCAAAGATAAATTATTGTCCCATACAACTATTGGTTCATACAGTACGAAAATGGTGAATCATCATATACAATTAGCTGAAAATGTTGGTATTTTCATATTGTACAATAAGCGATGATTAATTATCGTCCTATGAAAGAATCAGGTTGTGTAGTATGATCGTCCTAGATTGTCCTATACAATCAGATTGAAAAATTTAACCATAATTGCTCCCCTAATCATATAATTAATTTAGACATGATTGTCATATATCATATAATATGATAAATATCATACGGTATGATTAGACACAAATTTGAGTTTTAAAATAATACCTAAATTGTGATGGATAATTGTCCTATATGATTAGTATAAACATCATAAAATCCAAGCAAACAGTGTTCTTAGAGAATATTTTGTTAACTATCACATTTCTGTTGTCAAAATGTTAGTGCAAGATGTTAGAATCATCCAACATATTCTTCGTAACTCCATAATTCCAAAAGTTGAATATCATATCAATATCACACCAACTTTATTCTTAGCTACCTATTACATTATGACTCACATTAATTTTAATGTACATGATCTTATAATCTGATATCTTAAAATTTTAACATGCATTATAAATCCTAGACATAAGAGAATGCTTAATCTTATCTTAAGACATCTCATTGCCTTTGTCCGAGAATCCAAATACAATTTATAATTTCCTATGCCACATGTTCATATCCCATTCTTCTATTTCAATAGCTCCTTTCACGTCCTTCACAGTGCTCATCACCATGATGTTTGATATACTAAGTGCGAGCCAGAGTAGGGAGAAGAATAATAAGCTCAAGCACCAGCTCTTATTTGCAGTAGTCTTAGGTCAATCAGCTGGTACAAATGTTTTATCAGTAGGAGGCCCATTTTGACTCCTATATAGATGAGCAGTAGCAACAACATGAGAATGACTTAATTCACTTTGATCAATACATAGCCCAACATCAACAGCAACTTTATTAGGATATGGCTTGGTTTGAAAATCAGTTTGGCTCGATCCACTAGCACTTACAACCACTCCCTCCCCTACCTCTACCTGATCAAGAGCCCTCCTTATTATTTTTTTTTTATCATTTACTTTTATTGTTTTTTAGTTTCCTATTTATTTGTTGTTGTTTACTCCCCTTTTGTGATGTTAAAAGGAGTAGCATGTGTTGTTAGCTTGTATGTTGCTTTGAAATATTTTAATTCCATGTTGGTCTGTTAATTTTATGTGTTCTATGTGTTACTTTTCATTTTTAAATTAAAAAAAAATTAACACCTCCCTTATAGTTAAAAAATTTTACTTTGTGAGGGGGATCTTAGGGATTATCAAAACACTTTTGAATAATAAACCAACAATATTTATCATCATAAAAAAGGAAGATATTGTCATAGATTTGGACATAATTCTTATGATTTTGATGATAATGAACATTATTATATTTCTCAATATGTTATCTCTTGATAATTGAATTTATTGCATATTTGTTTTTATCTTGCTCACTAACATTTTAGGACCACTTCTCACTTGCAACCTCAATCAGCTCAAGACTGAGTATAATAGGATTAAAGTATGTATTTCCGATCTTTTTAGACTTTTTATCTTTCTTGAGATAATCATGTATTCTGGTGGATCCTAAAGTTAAATAACCTTACACACACATACTCAAGAGAGTGAGTTAAACAAAAATTCTAATTTTGAACTAATTGTATAATACGATTTATATCATACTAAATGATTAGTTAACCCTAAAACCCTAATTAGGGCACCCTCTATTAATTAAGAGTGATTAAACCAAGGTTGTGAAATCTGGACCGAAAATGAACCGAAAGAAGAAGAGGTTTATGATTCGACCGGTCGAATCAGATGATGTAATAAATATTTTTTTTTATTAAAAATTAATAACATTGATATAATAACTATGACAATCTAACCTCAAAACTTATAATTCTAATAATTTAAACTCTTTAATTTTAGTAGATTATCTCTAAATATAAATAAATTATTAAATAATTAAATTAAATTAAAACGATGAATATAATTATATTATAAGACATGTAGCTTAATTATATTATATTTATGAATACTTAATAATTAAATTATAATTAACCTTTACATTTAATTATAGTAATAATAAATGAGATTCTTATAATATACATTATATGATTATACTAAATTAAAAATTTTAATATAATATATAAATTTATAAATATATAATAAAAATAATATTTAATATAATATATAAATTTACATTCTAAACTATTTGTAGCCCAATTAGCCCAACCAAGCCTAAATTTGTAGCCCAACTAAGCCCAAATTTACATTCTAAACTATTAATGAACTTTTTTAGTCCCATATCATAGGAGTTTGAGGTAGTTGTCTTTAACCCTTTATATAGTGTGAAATACACATTTTTTGTATTATGTGAGGTATTTGAGATGATATGCATGTATTATGGTGTAATTAATCAGCATATTTAATAAAGATATTTTAAAAAATTAAAATAATTTAATAAACTAAAATATATTGTTTAAAGTTTAATTAAAACAAAAATAATTTTTTTTATAGAACTGGTCAGTTCTTGCCAACCTAGACTGGTTTTTAAATTTTTATAATGTATATTATAATAATTAATAATATAAATTTTTAATATTATAAATGTATATATTATATTAAATATTATTCTTATTACACATATATAAATTTAATATTATAAATTTATATATTATATTAAATTTTTTAATTTGTTATAATATATATTATAAGAATATCATTTATTATCACTATAATTAAATGTAAACGTTAATTATAATTAAATTATTAGATGTCTGTAAATATAATATAATGAAAATATATGTCTTATAATTTACTTATAATATATAATTATATTCATTGTTTTAATTTAATTAAATTAAATTAAGAGATAATCTACTAAATTACAGAGTTTAAATTTTTAGAATTATGATATCTAAGGTTAGACTACCATAATTATTATGTTAGTTTTATTAATTTTTAATAATATTATCATTTATTACTTAATTCGGTTCAACCCTGATTTGACTGGTCAAACCATGAACCTCTCCTTTTTTTGGTTCATTGTCTAATCCGATTTTCACAACCTTGATTTTGACAAATATAGTTTTTTTTTATACTCAACCTTGATTTTGACAAAGCTGTTTAACCCTAAGTGGATTTAACTAGGGTTGGAGATTTACCTCAATCTAATGAGTCTTGAGAGGTGTTCATAGGCTTAACTTGCAGTTTGAGAGTTTTAAAGCAATCCACTTAAAGAGTCTAACAACTAAGAAGGTCAAGATCACGAGCTTTCAGCCTTGGATGAAATAGAAGCCTGGTATGGCTGGATTCTCATTGTTGGCAGCTTCCAAAAACTAGATTGAGACTTGGAAAGTGTGAAGGGAAGTGAGTAGGAGCAAAATGAAAAGAACCTAAGGTTTAAGGGGCTAAGGGTAGTGAGAGAGTGTGTTAAACTTTATGTTTTGGGCTAAACCAGCATCTAGCCTCGGATTGGGAGGTGTTTGGGAATATCCTGGAGTGATTTAAGTGAATAATCAAGTGTATGTTGAGGATTTGACCAGCCATGGTATCAAACCCACCATTGGTTGATTTATGGAAGACTTGGGAAGGTTAATACCAAGCCATGGAGTGGTCTTGAGGGTTTGGGGTGCTTAGCTTGAAGGCATGGGCTTGGTTGACCTTACTTGGCATGGTTTGACCAACCATATGTCTAGTTAACCAAGTCAACTATTGAACGAGTCAAGGTGAAAGTCATGTTAAATTCAGTACAAGTAATAATCATGGAGGTTTGATGAAGATTAGATGTCATTTAGATCTTGATTAGAAGTAGAGGTGTTGATGATCAATTGAGTTAGCGCAATGGAGTCATCTTGACCAATCATTGACTTATGGGGGCAGTGATGCTTGATTTACTACTTTATTGATATAGATTGTACTAGTTTTCGTATTGGATTGTTCTAAAGTTTACATATTTTATTATTTATGCACTGCACATATTCATGATCATAATGATTGTTAATATTATGAATTGACCAATGACATATATTCTGCTTATTTATCGTGTTTTAAGTTCAGTTGTAGAATTAAGTGATATGCTGGACTTTTTTGCTCATTATATGTGATTTCAATGATTTTAGGTCATGACAGGTGATCAAGAATGTGAGATTGATAAGGATTTCCTAGGTTTACTGATCTGAGCAATACTGAAAAATTCAAGTTAGGATTTATCCGTTTAATAAACATGTCAAGTTTGGGTTTGATTTTCTAACCCATTTATTAAACGGGTTGAGTTCAAATTGACCCACAATAATTTTTTACTTGAAAATAACATGTTTAGTATATTTTTTCCTTAATTTTTTTACATATAGGTATAATCTTATTATTTTTATCATATATTTTTTAAATTTTATAATTAATAAGTTGTAAATTTTTTTAACCAAAATATGTTAATGTGTTGGGTTCATGTCTTTCAGGTTGTTAGTAGATCTGGTTCAGTTTCATGTTTTTGACCCATTTATTAAATGGAGTGGATTCGAATTGACTAGATTCAGGTTAAGTCAATTTTGGGTTGAACTTGAACCCGTCCCGTAACCCGTTTTGACACTCTTAAGAAATATGATGCTTGGATGTCACTATTCAAACATTTTAATCAATGGTTAATTTGTAGATTAGTCGAGTTTTTCTTACAACAACTTTGCTTATGGGCACTCTTCGAATATTTTAATCAACGAGCAGTTATAAAATTAGTCGATTTTTTCATTTAGCACCAACTATGCGAGATTTTAAATTATTTTGTTTATGAATGCTTTGAAGCTCCCCACGTAGTGGGATAAAGGCTTGATGTTGTTGTTGTTATGAATGCTCTGAAGCTCTCATCCAAAGGTGAGAATAGAGATATTTGGCTTATGGTGGTTTGTAAGTTTCAAGTCTCACATATGTTGAGAAAGTGAAGTTATTTCATTAAATTTAGGTCAAAATTTAATACAATAGAGATTATCACAACACTTAATCAAACAAAATTGTTACCAATGTAATATTGTTTTTTTCATAATCCATTTTATTTTGTAGACAATAAATATTTGATTCCATTATTCAAAATTTAATCAATTAAGATTTATCTCCAATTTTTACCAAACTAAAAAAAATTTTAATAAATATAATAATTTTTGTGATATGCCTTTTATTATCAAATTTTAATCAAACAAAATTATAGTCAATGTAATATATTTATGATATTCTTTTTTTTTTCTTTTTTTTTTTTGCAAGACAATGAACACATATATATATATATACACTTAAAAAATCTAAAAATTAATTTATATATAATTTTTTCCTAACAAAATAGTTATTCATTAAAAAAAAACATCTTCTAAACTCACTCATACGAGAAATTATTACTTGCGGAGTGCGAATATAACTTTGTGTTTGAACTCTAATTAAATGAAAACACATGGCTTTAGCGTGATTCGATGATCCGACTCACTTATATAAATGGAGATTTACAAGCATACCACTTTATACTATATTTATATATTTAACACCTGAAACTTTAATATTACATGAGTGATATGCATGTAATATTAAAGTTTATGGTGTTAGACATGTAAATAGGATGTTATAAAATTGTATGTATGTAATTTTTCCTTATATATATTGTGTACAACTTATATACAATATATTTAAGAAGAATTTATACATATTTTGAGTTGGGTCGGGTCGTCGGACATGTTTGAAATTTTTTTTTGCTATGTCTTCATTTAATTGAAAGTAAGGACTTAGAACTAGAGAAATTATTCAGTGAGGACACGTCCGAAGAGGAATGTGAGCCCGCCACGTCACCTAGTAAAATAATGACCTATGGCTAGCTCTCATTTGTCTCGGAATACCATCAGCACAAAATAAGTTATGCACTCACACTCATAGAGGAAATTATTGGGTTCGGACATCGGACATAGCTTACCATCCAGAAACGAATCAAGTGCAGACACGTTATCCAGTACCGAGCAGTATCGAGCTCAATACTGAACAGTACCGAACTTGATAATGAACAGTACGGAGCCAAATACCTAATAAAGAATGATGTAGCACATTTTCATTGAGCTCTCGAGTTCGAACCCAATAATTTTCCCACTCATAAGGGAAGAAACTCATCGTCAATAACCTTAAAGCCCCGCGCAACATCGCCCTGCTGTACAACCATAACAGATGCAGAAACAGAGAAATCCGAAGCGGCCAAGATATCGCCAATGGGGCCGAGCTCCGGGCACTCCGCCCACTCACTCATCCCCGCCGTTACCATCCAGAAACGAATCAAGTGCAGACACGTTATCCAGTACCGAGCAGTACCGAACTCAAAACTGAATAGTACCGAGCTCCATAATGAACAGTACGGAGCCAAATATCTAATAAAGAATGCTGTAGCACATTTTCATTGAGCTCTCAGTTCGAACGCAATAATTTTCCCACTCATAGGGGAAGAAACTCATCGTCAATAACCTTAAAGCCCCGCGCAACATCGCCCTGCTGTACAACCATAACAGATGCAGAAACAGAGAAATCCGAAGCGGCCAAGATATCGCCAATGGGGCCGAGCTCCGGGCACTCCGCCCACTCACTCATCCCCGCCGTGAGCACCGAAACCCTATCCTTCCCTCTCCCCACAATAAACAACTGATACCGACCTTCCAAAGCCCGTAATGTCGCCACCGTCTCGACTCCGCTCTCCACATTCTTCTCTATATACCCGACGCCCTTTTCTCCCGCCACGTACCTTTCATAAAACCCCATAAAGAACTCGTCGTCAGTTTTATGCTCGATCTCTTGCTTTCCGGCGGCGGCGAGGACTCGTCTTCCGGGGCCGGATGGTTTGTTTCTGGCTTCGGTGAGGAAGCGGAGAACGGTTAGTTTGACTGCGGGGTGATGGGAGATGAGGGAGGCGAAGGCGAGGGCTTCGCGGTCGTCGGCGCCGCCGATGAAGACGGCGCAGGTGTTTTGGACGGCGGTGGAGAGGGAGGAGGAGATGGAGCGGTGGATGCCGCGGTTGACGAGTATGGCGACGGAGCAGGGGGAGAATTGGAGTACTTTTTGGTTGAGCAGACGGTGGCCGTGGTGGCCGGCCTCCATTGTGCCGTCGAGGAGTTGGCGGCGGTGGAAGGGGAGGATGATCAGTACAGCCAAGCAGTCCTGCGAGGTAAGGGAGAAGATGAACCAATTGTTGGGACACAGTAAAAATTTCATTTTTCACCATTTCTGCTATGTAAAAAATTAAAAATCTTCACCTGCGCGGCGCTGCAAATATCCTCGTGCATATTATCAAAAGAAGAAACCGCAAGCATCCTCCGCACCGTTAACCCTTCCCCGCTCTCCCCCACATAAGCCTCCAAAGCCGACCCAATCTGCTCTCTCATCTCCACAATCCCCTCATCCTTCACCGTCACTGCCTCCATCCCCTCCCCATGCACCAACGTCGCCGCTGCCTTATCCGTCATCTCCACCATATCCACCACGAACGCCGCCAACCCGCCGCCGACATCTCCCAGTCCCCTCATCGCTTCGATCATATTGACGGCCATCGGAACATCCTCCGGTCCATGTAAACCCACCAGAATCCTGATCTCTCCTCCCGGTTTAGACCATTGGAGCCCCATTGGCTTTCCTCTCTCCCTCGCCCTCGCGCGCCGTACAATGAAGGCCACGACTAATGGCGTCGGGATCACCGTTCCGATTGCGATGAGTATCATCACCATCATCATGTTGTTGTCGATTACGCCTGCAATGGCGGCGTTGTGGGCGCAGAAGATGTGGAAGTAGCCTATGGAAATGTTTCAGTAAATACTAAATCTTTTGTTATAATTACTGATGCAGAGTTGAATTACAGATTTTAAGTCGATTAAAAACAGTAAACCGATCAAAAACTGACAAAAAGGGTACCTTTAATATTAAGCAGCAAAGCGAGCGCCACCGCCTCTTGCCACTTCATCCCGTGGCGTATACTATACACCACCGTCCCCGTTATCTTCCCCACCGCTCCAATCAACCCCACAATCATCATCTTATAAACATTACTCCTTTCCTCCGCCCTAATCAAAGATCCAAAATCACAGGAAATTCCAACCAGAACCAGGTAAAGCGGAAGCATGATTGTACTCAGCATAAAATTGATCCTACCAATCAAGAAATTCGACATCCTTCCATCTCGGGGAAGGCAGAGCCCAACGACAAATGCATTGAAGCTCGGATCGAAGCCAATGAACGTCGGGCAATAGCAGAGGAGAGCAGAGACTCCGCAGACCGCCGCCATATCAAGCCCGTGAATCGGCTTTCCTTCCGGATTCCGATCATTTATCTTGCGTATAACAGGATTAATCAGCTTTAGAATAAGCCATGCTTGTACCGCGATGACGAGGATGCGAAGAGTGGCGTTGATGGCGGCTGAGCTGATTCGGCTGTAAGGGCTGTGGAAGGTGTAGAGGGCGACGCCGAGGCACATGAGGGAAGTGCAGAGCAGATCGTTGGCGAGGGCGGTGCGGACGGTGAGGCGGCCGATTTCGGATTTGTGGATTTTGAGTTCGGTGACGAGGCGGGTGAGGATGGGGGATGAGGTGGCGGCAAGGGAGATGGAGATGGCGGAGATGATGGGGTGAGAAGGTTTAATCGGGAGGGAGGGAGCGGTGCGGTTGATGAGAGTGTAGGAGAAGAGGGTTGCGCCGATGGTGGAGATGATGCCGATGAGGGCGATTCTGGTGTGAGGGCTGGAGCAGCGCAGGATTGTTTTGGGATCCATTTCGAGGGCGACGACGAAGAGGTACAAGGCGAAGGCGATTGAGCTGATGTGGGCGATGGAATGGACTACGTGTTCTTCCATGCTGGATCTTACTATTATCACATTTCCGACGATCAGTCCGATCTGTAAAAAAAATGGCAAGCACACATGCATACTAAATAGTTATAGTTCATATGAAAAGTTGTATTTTTTTTTTTAAATAAGAAGTCTTACAATGAAATCGGAGATCATTTGATGCTGGCTGAGGCGGCGGAGGAAGACATGGACGACCTTACAGCTGATAAGGATCACGACGATGTTGACGACGAAGATGGAGAAGGAGGCGCCGATGGAGGAGCTTAGGAGGCTACAGTGGGTTCTGCCAATGCTGATGGTGTAATTATCAGCGATGGCGGTGGCGGAGGCGGTCGTCGGAGTATTATTTCGGGACATTGGGGGTGAGAAGGCAACGTTGTTTCAGCTTGTTAAGATATCGATTACTATGAGATTCAGATCGGAGTGGAAACTAATTTGAAGCTATAGCAATAACGGTCAAATCCCTTCAAACTTGTCTAAGCTTTTTATGGCAAATTGGTTTTTAATATAGTGGCTATCCTTTTTGATTTTTTTTTTTTAAAGATAAAATTGATTCATGCCGTTAACAATATCTATCATAAAAAATGGTGATTAGTCAATATAACATACAACAATATAATTCTTGTCATTATCAGCTTTCTTCCATTTGTGAACAAACAACAATAAATAAAAAGTAATAAAATTAAAGAAGAAAAATAACCCAATAGATTTATGTCTTCATCATAGGAGAAGTTATTTTGTACAGACGTCGAACGCAACTCTATGTTCGGAGACGAATCAGGTGCAGTCACATCAGCAGTACCGAGCCGCGGTACGGAGCGAAGGGGTGATGTGGCACATCTTGTTGGCCTCTGAACAGGGTTTGACGTCCTCGAGAATTCTTCTCGATCTCAAAAATACTTCTCTAGCTAGAGATGGCTTCCTTGGGAATCCTTCTTGAGCCTTAAAGAGTTCATCTCATTCTCAGTAGGGCCTTTTTGAGATCATTGTGATTTACCTCAACCTTAAAGATCTTTAACTTATATAATTATTATGTAATATGCAGAAAACAGGGAAACCAAGAAGACATTATGGCCTCAAACCCACAAGGAGAGAAAGATGATTTTATTATATTGAAGAATAATAGATATTATATTTTGGCTCTCTAGCTCTCTCTTGCACACAATAAAATAATTCTCAAGCCCTATTTAAAGATTTGAAACAAAATTACATAGGAAAGTTTAATTAATGTTATAATATGATAAAATTTAATCATATATGTTGCGGGCTAGAATATACGCGACAATAGAGTTAAAATGTTGCGTCTTAACTTTTTACGAATATCCAGCTAACACACAGAGAACACAAGATGTTTTTACGTGAAAAATCCTGAAAAAGCAGAAAAATCATGGGGCCCGACCCAATCTGAAATGATTCCACTAGTTTTTGGGTAAATTACAATGGGCTCACTAGTCTTTGAGGGCGATCATATTACAAATGACAACCATTTGGTTGAAATCAAGTGATAAACGAGGATGAAAGTACAGCGTCACTTAGTGTACTAGCAGAAGTCTAGTGCTACATGAAAATTCGAGCTTCAGTTGGTAGCCTGGCATTGGTTTGGTAGAACTTTAGCGACGAGCGGTGGTTCGACGAAAGTCTGGCGTCAGATGGTGGTCCAGCGAAACTTCGGGAGTCAAGTGATGGTTTGGCAAAACTCCGAGCGTACTCTAGGTGTCAAGTGGCTGTCCGGTATAACTTTGGGCGTCAGGTGATGCTCCGGCGGAACTCCGGGCCTCAAGTAGGTATCTGGTAAAACTTCGGTCCTTAAGTGGTGCTCTGGGCCTGAGGTAGTGGTCCAGCGGAGCTTAGGGCCTCAGGTGGTGGTCGTGGTGGTCTCCGACAGTGGTCGAGGAGGAAAGGAGGCAAGAGTAATATCTGGTCTCTCTTTTCTCCTTAGGCATAAGGTCCCTTTTCAAAAGGAATGAGGGGTCTATTTATAGATTTCCTAGAGTGGCCTGACCCATAAATAGAAGGAGGATCAAGGGCAATGGGAAGTGGTTTGGATGGACGGCCGATCTTGAATCTCTTGATTGTGGACCATGTGTTAGACATTTGAAGGTCTTAATGATGTCAAAATTTGACGATATTAGGCTCGTTGGATTCCTCTCATTGAGCCGCTTGATTCGACTATAAGCATGCCGTGTTTGGAAACTGCTTGATTCGACTATCTCCTGCCAACTATGACCCTTCAAATCAAACAAACCTATTTATGTTGATTATTGTAACACCCACCATGTAATGCGCTCTATATGATATACATTTGTACCATCAAGTCAAGGCCTTCTCCCAAGGAAGGGCCTCATTTGTAATATAAGTTTTACCAATTGTGTAGCTTGTATGTATTTATAATATAAGTTTTTAAATTATTTATTACTCTTTCAACTAATCTTTTGACGACTAATTAATCTTTAACATTAATATTATATTATTCTAAAATTATTTTGAATATTTTTATCAATTATAAGTTTGAAATTATTTGTATTAATAAACATACAAAATAAATATATATTTATAAAAAAAAGAATAATAAATAATTTTTTGTTATGCTCTAATGGATTTTTAAAATTCTATTAACACAATTCATGCACTTATAGTTTAGTCATATATATTTAATAATTTCTAGGTGATTATATTAATTTATTATTTATGAATATTCAGCTAATTAAATTAATAAATGAAATACAAATAAAAAAAAGTTTCCTTATTTAACAAATCGGAACCCTTAAACGGTTAAACCTATTTCACTATTCGTCCCTTGCTCCAAGAATCCTCCAGGCAAGACCACGCTGGCGATCCGTGTGCACGAGTGAAACATCATCTCAACCATTCATTTACATCTAATCCAACGATTCAAAACAGTCGCCATTTACGCACAAAAATTTCGCGCTTTACCCATCGCCTCCTCTCCCCGCCCTCTCCTCAGCTACAAATACTCTTGCCGTTTCTTTTCTCGCAACTACTCGAAAACCCTAATTCTCCTTGCCTTTGCCCTATCTCCTTCCTCCGAGATGGCGAGAACGAAGCAAACCGCGCGTAAGTCGACTGGCGGCAAGGCTCCAAGGAAGCAGCTGGCCACCAAGGCGGCCCGCAAGTCTGCCCCGGCGACTGGCGGCGTCAAGAAGCCACATCGATTCCGTCCCGGAACTGTTGCGCTGAGGGAGATCAGGAAGTACCAGAAGAGCACGGAGCTTCTCATTCGCAAGCTTCCGTTTCAGCGGTTGGTGCGCGAGATCGCCCAGGACTTCAAGACTGATCTACGCTTCCAAAGCTCCGCTGTCGCTGCGCTGCAGGAGGCCGCAGAGTCGTACCTGGTGGGTCTTTTTGAAGACACTAATCTCTGTGCCATTCATGCCAAGAGGGTCACTATCATGCCTAAGGATATTCAGCTCGCTCGCCGCATTCGTGGTGAGAGGGCTTAGGTGTTCGTAGAGTTTCGTATGGAAGATTATGAGTTTTTTTTTTTAGGGCTTTGATTTACAGTGTTTTCAGATGCCTAATATTTGTCTTTCTTCACCTTGTGGAAATGTGAGATTAAAGAAAATTAATGGTGCAAAGTTATCTGGTCTAATGTTTTGCCCTTTTTGCTCTCTAAAGGAATATAGTAATAAGTTATGAGTCCTCCATATTTCTTGCAATGTTAATCCAATTCTTTGTTTAAAATTTGTTTAAACTAAGTTTGCTGCTCTTTGACCGATCGCTGTTATTTAAAGGACATTTCAATGCAAGATCAAAACTTGTATGTATACCATTATAATATTAGAGCAAAAGCCAATGCCTTTGCAGTTTCTGTAATAGCTTTGAACGTTGAAGATGTCATTCTGTGCTTCATTTTATCCCAATGGCTATCTTCTTCTTGACTTTAGGACCAATCCCTCTTATTCCAAGGTGTATGCCATGTTTTTCTCTGTGTTTGAAACACAACCAGCTTGCCATTCTCTCAACACTCTATATTCTATCAATTTTGAGACTCGCAATTTCTTTTGTTTTTTATTGATTGATTTCTTCTATGTTCACTCTGTCCATTATTCTCTCCAAATTTCTTCTATGTTTTGGGTATTATTTATATAAATATGTAAGAATTTGATAATAGCTATATGAAATTATCATATAAATAATGAAAAAAATTATGAAATAATATTAAGATAAAATGTTGGATTAAGATAGCTTGATTTAATTTAAGTTATAATGTGTTTTAAAATTGTAAAAAAATATTATTAGGCTTATCTTAAAATAAATCTGATAATTATAATACCCATAATGATTACAAAAGTAAATTATATTCTTTTGAACAAATTTGAATTTTATTTAAAACTTTGAATGTTTCTTAAAAAATGCATGTTTTGTATGTGTTTTGTACCTTAAGCAATTCAATTTGGATCAATTTAATAAATTTATAAAAAAATGTGTTTTGTCAAAACCATATTTATGTAATAGACCCTATGTCTCCACTACATTATTATTTTTTTAAAATATGGCCTAAAAGCAAGAGTTGCAGTAATAAAACAAGCATTTCTTTTAAATTTTTGCAAAAGACAATGCAATTGTCGACATTTAGTAATTACATTAAGAAGGATAAAAATTCCATAAGGAATCTCTCAAAGAATTTTGAATTTTCTATGAGGAATGAGATATAAGAGGATGCCTTTGACTTTGCATTAATGTTAGTGATTTGGAAAATGAATGATTCCTATTGAGGGTTAGAATATACGTGATGATAGACTTATAATATTAAGTCTTAGCATTGCACAAATATCCAGTTCACACATAAAAAATACAATATTTTTTACACGGAAAGCCTTGAAAAAAAAGGGAAAATCAAGGGGCTTGGCCCAATTGAAAATGATTACACTAGAGCTTGATTTGGTTACAATGAGTTGATTCGCCTATAAGGGTGATCAGATTATAAGTAATAACTATATGATAGAAGTCCGGGTGTTAGGCGATGGAGCGGCATAACTTCGGGCTTTAGGTAATGGTCTGATAGAACTTTAAGCCTAAGGTGATGATCTGACGAAGGCGAGAGCTTCAAGTGGTGATATGGCAAAAGTGAGCGCCTAAAATGGTGGTCCGTCGTAGGCAAGGGCCTTAGGTGGTGGCTGGTGAAGGTGAGGGCCTCAGGTGGTGGTCCGGCGAAGGTGAGGGCCTCTGATGGTAGTCCGACAAAGCTCCATCAATGGTTCGACGAAATTCAGGCGGTTGTCCGGCAAAGCACCGACGGTGGTCCGACGAAACTTCGTCGGTGGACGAGGAGGAGCTTATTCATTCTCTTCATTCTCTTCTCTTGCTTGAGTATCCTCTTAAGATAAATGAGGGGTATATTTATAGATTTTATGGAGTGACATGACTCGTAAAGATGTGAGAGATCAGGGGTAAATGTGGAGTGGTTAGATGGACGGCCGATATTGAATCCCTTGATCATGGGTCGTTCATCAGACATTTTAAGGTCTTAACGATTTCAGAATTTAGTGATCTTGGGCTTGTTGGATTTGTTTAGTCGAGCCGCTCGATTCGACTATAAGCTCGTCATGTTTGGGAACCATTTAGTAACTCAAACAGTGGTACGAAGCTTCCAACAACTTCTGATTTGTATGCATTAAATACTTTATTTTCTTAGGGTTAGAGCATCTTGAATTTGGCTGAAATTTGAGATATCATAGATTTAGGTTTTTCTTTGGGCTCTAGCGGCGTCTAGAGATTTGGGAGAGTTCGATCCTCCTCTCGAATAGAGGATCAATTTTATCTTGCTATTTTTCGTTTTCCTTTCATCAAATAATACAAATTATCTACTGTTTTTGTGATTTTGTCCGGATTTTTGTGGAGAATTCTCACTGTTTTTCAAATATTGATAGAAAATACTTGAGATCTACAAGTGTTTCCTATCAATAGATTGAAGAGGCGGGAGCTGCTAGAACAAGAACAAAAAAAAAAGCTAAATAACAAAAGCTCAAAACAATATATTCTTCATTGATTTCCTTTGCTACAGGGCTCTATCTTATACTAACAAGCTTCAAGCATCCACCTAAAAAAGGACTAAAAGGTAAAAAGATAAACATGCACTAGCATACTAAATAATAGTACTAAAGCAGTGGAGCACACATGTAGCTACAAGAATCCAGTGGAAAAGATGTTATAAGATAAAATATCCCTCAAAGCTTATCTACATAAAGATGCACCGCAATGACCGCATCTTCAAGTCCTTAAGTTTTTTTGACCGAATGGATTTGATTGTTATCTTAATGGTTTGGTTCTTGCCCAGCTGCAACTATTTCTAATGAAGATGGTGCACTCTAAAGTCCCGCTATCCTAGAGATTTCTCATGCAAGGACTCTCACTCAGAGTAGAGTTTAGGGTTTATTATAGTGGTCATGTTTTCCCAAAAGTGCAAGTTCTCAAGCAGTCAAGCATTCTCATAGGCTTCAAGCCATGTATGACGAATTTAATGCTCTACAAACTCAAGGTGATGTGGGTAGATTACGAAAAACAGGAGCAAAAGAGCTAAACAATACTAAGAGATCAGAACATTAAAAACTATTGGAACTTCAAAAATATATCATGATCTCATATATTTTTCCTATAGCTTGTATACTATGTTGCACCGATATGGATACGGCGGCACGAATTTAATTGGAGGCTGGAGCAGGCTACGTAAGTGCGGAGCGTGCACTGGAGGCGGGAGTAGGTTGTGTTAGAGCGAAGCATGGGATTAAGCATGGTGTTTGGGTCTCGTATGAGAGCGAGGCAGGGTAGGTTGTGCGTTGGAACAAAGGCGGGACGTGGCAGCCGGCCGGAGCATACACAAGTTCGAAAGGTGGAAGCCATGTCACCATAGTTCAGATTAGAACAACTAAATCATGAAACAAAAATCAAATTAAATCACTCATCATCAAAAACAAAGTATTTTCTACAAGGAACACTGTTTCTATACCAGGACAATATAAAACTTGTTTTTTCTTTGGCGATATCAAACACTCCCAACGCTCCAGCGCATTAGTCTGTCTATCAATCATGGAGTTTAAATTGAAACCCATCACCGTACAATCAAATTCTAATGAATAACCCTACAAACGATACGATTCCAACATAGCACATCCAAAACCTGTCACGCAGGTCATCTTGTTCGCTAAAGATTCAACAAAAAGGCCGTTCACAGGCTGAAAAAACATTCTGTGAGAGTGATAACTAGTAAGCTGTGCGCAATAGCTGTAATGGTAAAGCCATGGCTAGAAACCCTAAGTAGAGAGAAAGACAGGCAAATCAAAACAGGAAGATGCATAATAAATCGATTGTTTACCCTACTGGAATAGATACATCTATCAAAACCCTACATCGAGGGAATCAGAGGAACAACAGGATTGTCAATCGTGCCGCCACTATCCAATTGCACGCCGCCTTCAAGATCTTAAAAAAAAAAAAATTCGGAATCCTCTACAGCTCGATCTCTGCGTTAGTGAAAAACCTTAGCTTGTTTTCGAGCATTTTGGAAGTTGGCTCAACTCGTTCAGAGATTATTGTGTGGGAAACCGTCCTGTTTTTCTCTCTCTAGCAGTCAATTTTAGTAGTTCTGCTTTGAATTTTTTTTTGGACATTTAGATCAAGACAAGCTCACACGGCAAATTATTGTGTCCGGTCCGGACACCAATAAAAACGAACCACCTCATTCAAAAATACGGGGCCCCAGTGCATCCGGGTGAGGTGGCGTGTCAGATTGGATGTCCGCATGTCAGGTGACCGGACGCAATAACACACACAATGCATACACATAGACTCGAATCCCAGACCTCTTAGTTGAAAGCCTAAGTTCTCAACCAATAGGCCAAGGAGAGCTGTGTAGTTGTGATTTGATTGTAGACAAAGAAAAAAAATCAGAGGGTTCTTTCCGTTAATATCCACACATAATAAAAAAAAATATTATGTGCGGAGGCCGAATGATGCCGAGAATTCAACCAGAATACGCCATGTCATCCCACGACTTGGTACTGTTCGGTACCGCGGCTCGATACTGCTGACGTGACTATACTTGCTTGGTCTCCAGAAGTAGAGCTACGTTCGACCTCCTCATAAAATAATTTCTCACTTTTTTAAAATCTTATTTATAACTTCTGTAAAATTCTTCTCACTAAACATCAAAGTATTTTTTAATGGCAGTTTGTTATTTAATAAATATAAATAAATAAATATTTTTTTTAATGTTTTAATTGTATCAAATTTCAATTTAAATAAGAATATTTATTCATTCCATGAGAAAATAATTTATAATGAAAGAAAATCTAACTCTTTTAATATGCCTAATAGTTAATTAATTTAATTCTAATGTTTTTAATTTAAAAAATATTATTTTAATCTAATCATTAAAATAATGAATATGATTATATTAAGTTGAAGTTAATTATTGCTCCATTTTTAACAAACAACAACAAATGATCACATTCAAACTTTGAATATTCCTATTCATTATTTTAACAATAATATTTAAAATAGTTACAATCAAATTTATAAATATAAAATTTATTACTAATTATAATAATATTAATGTGTAATGTTAATAAATAATATTTTATATAAAATTTAAATTC